ATTATATTAAAATAATTGGAATAACATTCAAGAAATACCATTATCAAGATGAATAAATAATGATAAAAAAATAATACAGAGTGCTCATACACTTGCAGTTAGTAGACTAATTTTCAAGTCAGTAAAAAGAGTACTCACGGGAAATATTTATGCTTTTGGATTATCAGTAAGTTGATTATAATTTGGGTAAAAAGTCGCTGCAAAGGGAGATGATGAAATTCGTATTTTCCTGTGAAATAAAATCAATAACAAATCATAAGACTCATTATATGTATATAAATATCACGAGACGATACAAAATCTCAACAAAAATTGCTGAACAAATTATTTTAGTCGAAAGGATAAATCCGTCACCATAAAACAAGAAGTTTATCAATATTCCCATAGTCATCAGATTTGAAGAACCTTATTCACATTTGAGATATTTGAAATTCACTTACCAAGCAATCGAAAGTCAAGAGCAAATCAATTGACAAGAATTAGGGATTTCTGCAAATAAACTGAGAATTAGGGGTTTCTGCAAATAAACTGAAAATTGGACAAAGTTACAAATAACGATAGAATGGGAGAGTTAGGGCTTGATACTGCCATACCGGGATCGGAAAAGAGAGAGAAACGGAAAAACTAGGGTCGGTAGATCAGCTAACGTGAGAAATCAGAAAAGAGTCGACTCGTAGACAAATGATTTTTTCTTCACCAAACATTTATTTTCTTTAAAGAAACTGCAAGGGAGCCCAATAACAAGCCCGGTGGATGACTAATGTAATAGCGTTTATTTTTAATAATTTTAATGCGTAAAAGCTATTATAGCACTTATTAGAAAAATGCTATAACAAAGTGCTATTAAAAGTCAATTTTGTTGTAGTGCATTGTCAATTGCCATTTTAATGAGACAATTTTCCCGCCGTTAAGGGGGAGATAAGAAGCCGGTTCTTGTATAACGGCGTGAATTATATGAAATGATATTTGTCTCATCTAGATTTGTGCATGGTAATATTTAAGCACAAAAGAAAAAAGAATTCATTTGCAACAATTTTAATTTGTAAAATGCTAGATGCATTTATCGACAAAATGACAACTTGAAATTATTACATATGTTGCAAATGAATGCAAGAGAAAATGTCCAAGAAGAACACATTACACATTAGATTTTGCCATGAAAGGCTTATAAACGAATGTCCTCGAAGGACAAATTTCACACTATGATTGCATAGTGAATCCCCTAAATGGATAAAAAATGATTATGGTACACATCTAACCAATTATACTTTATACATATAAGAGGGAGAGATATATAAATGTTGGTTCGAATGATTGACACCCTTATAAGTAGTGTAAATACCGTTCAATTCAAGTCTACTAGCGCTAGTAGCATCATACTCTCATCATATTACTTATCTCATTCGATGAAAGAATTCGTCTTAAAGACGATGTTGGGGGACGCCTCAACCAATATCCATTACTATGATTTGATAAATTTTTGCCAATTATGGTGGCATAAATAAAATCCATATTTGGATGAGAAAATCATTGATGATTACACGGTAGCTATCGAGATCATTTAAATCGAACCATTATGTGTCAATAAAGAGTTGATTGGCAAATAAATCATGGTTAGCTTGCTATCTAAGTGAATAGAGAGGCATTTGAGACTATTAGTTCTCAACGTTGTTGTTGTACCGATATAATATCTTAAAGAATTGAAAATTCTTTTCGAACGAATATTCATGTACCAAATTGAATGTTAATATTGAGTTTGAAAATAAAGTGGACAAGTAGTCCTCAATACCCCCTTCACATTGTGAAACTCAAAAGCGCGCATTTTGTCCATGTAGGACATTTATATTGAAATAAATAATGAGCTCAAGCACATAAAGTATTATGAAAAACTTTATTGATGCAAGAAAATTCTCTATACGAGAAAAATACATGGTACATGAAAAGATATGGATCTCTACAAGAGATCGTACCCACAAAGGGTACAATCCCCATTTATATGAATATAATTCTCTAAGGAGAATTCGGTACCGGAAAGTGAAATAGTGAGCTCTTGATTGATAATAAAGAAATATGGGGAGTATGAAAGATGTTATCGAATAACTACATGTACAATTATTTCTGTAATGTGAAGAGCTTGAAGCTCATAAATCTTAATAGATGTCGACATCTAATTGGTCATTAGTATATGCATTCACAAATGCAATTGACCATGATTATTTGAAATTATTGATGACATAAATTGTACATTGACTTGCGGTCATTACACATAAAGTTGTGAAAGCCTTTAGTGCAAAAGTGGGTAAAGTCATTGCGGTAAATTTGAATGCCTTTTGAAAATATACTTTTATGATTCAATCATTTTATGATGGTATTCAAAATTATTTGACATGCACCATATGGATGCAATTACCGCATATTTATATGGATCATAACTTGTTATTTCAAAGAATTGAAAATGCTTGAAGCATATAATAAGAGGTCTCATGAGTTAGACCCTACGAATGATCCATTTATATATTCAAGAATATGGCATTGTCACCTTAGTGAATACCTTGTTTACAAAAGGAATAATCAAATAATTGATTTCCATTATCATTTGGGGCGAATTAAATCTTGTGGAGACTCATGAAAAGCTCACAAAGATCATCAATTCTTTGATGAAAGAATTCGAAGTGAAAATATCCTGTGAGGATATATTTTGCCTTGATCTGCAGATCGAGCATTTGTCGAATGAAATATTTATCCATTATTTGTTTATATATAAGATAAAGCTCATTCATTGAGTAAACATATGATTGTCCGATCTTTGGACATAAGAAATATATTCCCATCCTTCCTCGAGAAGATAATGAAGACCTTGGTCCTAATATATGAGGATAATGTTGTCTGATTGCACCAACGAGATTTTGGCTATATCAAGGGAGGTGGCCGAAGAATTATTGAAGATTTCTAAAGTACTCGAGAGTTAAAGAAGAAAGATGACATTGACAGTTATTGATGACAATCAAATAACGAGTTTGCAAATCCATACGTCGGCGATCTTACTCCAATGTCTCATGCTGAAATCAGGGGGAGCGTGATCAACAATTTCAGCACTGTACTCTTTTTCCTTCGTCCAAGTTTTTATACCAATGTGTTTTTCTTGGCAAGGTTTTAACGAGGCAGTGTTACGCTCTCAAGATTTAAATGGATATGTACTATTTTCTCCTTTGTTTAGGTTTTGTCCCATTGGGTTTTCCTAACAAGGTTTTTAACGAGGCATACTCCATATATGGTGGACATCCAAGGGGAAGTGTTATGAATTCTAGAAGGTGTGGATGGCCACCATTACTCACCATCATCAAGCACCATCACTCCCACCATTATCACACCATAATACCTATTGATGATGCCATTATGGCCTTGTAACTCATGACCTTTTAGATGTCTTCTAGTGCTATATATATAGAGCACTATGTAATGTATTTTACACACAAGAAGAACAAGAGAATAATATACTTGTATCCCTCTATATTACTATCTCAATTCATCTTTGTTTTGTTCTTCTTTATTAGTTTTTCAACAATATTATAATTTTCAGACTTACTAAATTGTTGTGAAACTTTATTAAAAAAAAAGAAAAAAAAAAACTTAGGTCTCAAGTCACCAATTTATTTTGTGTAGTAAAAGGCCAGCAATTGAAAGTTTGGGTTATAAATGGACTTCAATAAAGCCCAATTATAATTCCATTTTCCCCGAATCTTGGAAATTGGAAATTGGAAAATAATTTATTATATTCTTACGCAGACATTGAAAAAAATAAATAATAAAAGTTTTGACATTGGAAGATAGATTTTCCATTTATTGCAAAAATAAAAGATGACAAATTATAACTCAAACACACAAATCTTACATCAAGAAAACACTTCAATACTAATTGCTTTATAAATTCATTTATATATATAAAAAAAAAAAAGTAATTCTTGGAGGCTTGGACGCTTTTAGCCTTCGATCAGCAAATAATTGGCCCATCCCATCTCACTAACACTCCAAATTATTCTTCAAGACAACATAATTTAAAACCGGCCTTAGCACTCGGGTGTGGATTTATGGTCTTTCGTTGAATCGCTGCAATAATCATAAACCTTGTAATTATTCTGCACGTACGCCATCGACGCGTACTGCTGGCTGCTCAGCCCGGTCCCGCCGGAGGCGGAACCGGTAATGGGGCGGCATGAGGCGGGGCCGTTAACGGCACAACCACCAATCTTGAAATTGTTGTACTTTCCGATAAAGGGTTGGTAAGTGTAGTCGGCTTTGTACTTTCCGTTCTCGGTGGCCCACGAAGAAGCGTCCCATATTGAACCGTAAACCGACATCGGTTTCAGCGGGAATGTTTCGTCACTCGTCTTTGGGTATCTTCTTATTGGCACGTCATCCACAAAAAATCTGCATTTTCCAAAATCACTTAATTATTACATTTATTTTGAGAAAAACATTTACTAGTAAAAATAAATTAAAAAATTCAATGTGGGTATAGTTTTGAAATTGAGATTTCTCTTGTGAATTTTACTACACACAAAAGTAAATAAATTCACGAAAGTGTGTATGGATATTGCAGATTGAAACAATTAAAAAAATTAAATATAGTCGATCGATTTATTTATTTATTATTATTTCTATAATAGAAATATTTTCAAAAATCAATTTAATTAGTTTATTTTATTTTAATTATGCTATATAGTTTTGGTTAAAGTTATGCATAAATTATCATGAGTTGGTAGTGTTCAATATGTCTATTCATTCAAATAAAACATCCATTAATATATATTTGATATATTACCTACCATTTATTAATACCTAAATTTCACCATGCATACGTACAAAATCCGTACGAATTAATTGAAATATAAAAAACAAACCTACTCTATATATATTATATTCTAAAAGCAAAAAAAGGTACTAAATTAAATATTGGTTACGAAATAAATTTTGGATTTAAATTAAAAAAACCAATTATTATTATTAAATAAACTCACATGATTTCAGTTGGATCCATAGAATGGCATAATTGTGAAAATCTTGAGTAGGATCGAACCAAAGATGGAATCTAACTTCTCTCCCAACAATATTATTACCATCTCCACTCCCTTTCATGTATACATTCGTCTGCAACACATACGGTTTGTCGAGCGTCGTCCCGAGAAATTCTATATCAATCTCGTCATGGTTCCCCGGGTACTCTTCGTTGTTCGACAGCTTTCATTTCAAATTTTAACAACGATAAAATAAATACATATACACACACAAACACACTTACACACGCACACGTACGAAGGATTGCTCACGTAGAGAGAAGTGATAACTCCAGCAGTGTAACCGGGGTGAAGCTTTATGGCTGCCCCGAAATAACCGGAACTGTAAGAATTGACCGATTTGAACCCGCTTCCTGTAAGAATTATTACGTTACCTTAAACGACACTTAAAAAATAAACGAAATAAGTATCATGTGTAGACGTAATATATTATATTACATTATATTATTACCGGAGCTTCTGTCGAGCCAAACGGTAAGTGTGCCTTGGTCTAAACGTTGATGTTGTGGACCCCACCGATTATCGAACCCTTGATCGAACGCTATGGACCCTATTCTTGAACTAGGGTAGTACCCAGGCGAAGGTGGGTCGCCGTTAATATTTCTTAAGTGCAACATTAAAACGATGAACGTAAGCGAAATCGTATAATTGAGAGCCATATGTACGTAGTAATTTCCAATAAATTATTTTTAAGGTATGTATATATATACAAATATACACACTGCGAAGCTGATTTTATTACAGGGTTTATAGTTATGGTGTTTGTATATGGCAATATATATAGGATGTTATATATATATATATATATATATATATATATATGAGGTCCCACATCGGAAAAAATGGAGGTTGATAATGATGGGGCTGAATTTGTTGAAGACAAAACGCAAGAAAGACTTGTGATATATACATTCAAGAAATGGATGTATAAATATATTAATTTAATTAAATATTAATATTGTTTTGTGTGTTGAAGTTTTCTTTGTTGTTGGTTAATTAGGGTTGCTCATTTGGGAAAGTGTAAGAGAAATATATGGAAAATGTCAATTTAACCAGTTGAGGGTCAATTCAATTATATGTCAGTGTATAAAGATTTATACTTTTGGAAGAAACTAATTAGATTTAATAAAAAAAAAAAATAGAACAAAAAATGCTAAAAGCCTCTTGTAAAACTTTAATAATTGCGGGATTAATGCTCTATAATCTATGGTTAATTAAAAATGTGTGAATAAAAAGTTCTTGAATTTTGGTTTTAAAATTTCGATTTTGTCCTTATATGTGCATAAGGTGAACCGAATCATTGTATGTAATCTGTACCAAGCGTGATGCAATAATTAAGTTGGATTTAACTAAATCAATTGGGGCCATTATGTAATTTAATAATCTATTAGTAACATCATGCATGTAGAAAATAATTTATGTGATGTATCATTGGCTTGTGAATGTATAGTAACTATGGGAGTTGATGTGTTCACATGTTAGATTGAGTCTTTTGAGTCCAAAAGGATAGAGAATGTCGACGGTCACTGCCACGTATTGTAGGGACGGGCTTCACTCGTTGCTGCTCAAATGTCGATTGGGCAATTCAAGAGTATTTGAGCCCGCATGAGTAGAGTATATCGAAGATTTATTGTCGCGTATCTGACGTAATCGAAGGGTGTGGCTAATCCACTTGTTATTGTTCAAATGGCGATTATGCGACCCAAACGTATTTGAACTCATAAGAATGGAGGTTTGCTCGCTAGGTGACATGTTGGGGTTAGCCCGACGATTGTCCTCTGACAACAAAGTGAAAAAACCATCACAATATAAACAAATAGTTTAATTATATGGATGCGTCTCGTAGAATTCTGATGTGGGACAATAAGTTATAACTTTATTTACTATTAATAATTGTCTCTGTTTAATTTTAAGTGTTTTTTCTATACATAAATATTTTTTTCCCATATCATCAATTATGTGACATGTTAACGTACATTAATCAGGATATAATTACAAAAAAAATTATGCCAAATTTTCCATTTATGATTAACAAGTATTTACCTAAGTAGAGAAAAATATCATTTGATAGAACAACTAATGATTGGTATGGTAGACAGTTACTTTCGAATCCATGTACTAAATAATAATTTTGCCTAAATATATACATTTGATTTATTTAATTATTATACTAAGCATGTAACAACTTATTCTCTTAGGGCGACTTTTAAATGTACATTAAAATTGGACAATCTTTATCTGCCGACACTTCTTAAGGGCTTTGGCAATGTTTATTAGGGTTGCATTTATTTCCTTAAAATATTTTCCCAGGTTTCCTTATTAATTAATTAATTACTTGGACATTTTCAATTTATTAATTATATTTTCTATTTCATTTCTTTCAAGTCAGGAGTTGTTGCAAATTAAATTAATCAAACATATGTTTGACTTTTTTTCGTGTTACTGTGTAATGGAACACCACTGTAGAGGTCTTTGAGACTTTAGACACAGACCCAGCCAAAGGGGGCGGCTGCCCCTCTATTTTTACTACTAAATACATTTTGTTTGTTAATTCAAGACATGTTTATATATGTTCATATTAGAGTTAATTGCTTCATTGTATTTATATATATATATATATATTCACAATTTCATGTTAATAATTATTTTTTCTAGATTATTAATAATGATGTAGAAAATATAATGGACATCTAATTGCTTAATAGTATGCATGTCAATAGTCTACACTTTTTTTATTTTAAATTATTTTCTTCAGCCACGCAGAAAGTTGGATGTTACACCTAGTTATTTACATCGGATGAATTTTTCAACTGTAAATCTGATTAAATAACCCACTCACTAAATACAAATGCACATGCGTGTGTGTAATTATATATAAATTTACGGTTTGAATCTATCCATTATAAATCCAATAAGTCATACTAATATAAGTCATATTCTCAAGATAGAACATATAGTTAGCTCCATATAGATGTCTTTATTCATCTCACCAATAATTTATGCTATTTCCAAAAGCAAAAGATTACATCCTTAAAAAAATGAAACATTAAAATTTGATGTGATGCAACATTTTCCTAACACTTATTGTAAATTATGTCTCGTCAACAACCGTTGTCAACGCTTTAATAGTTACTTTTTATTTATTTTTATTTTATTTTAGGAATTAAAGAATGAAAGAAAAAAAAATCAAAATTACCAAATGCTTTCATATATATACATATGCCTTAATTAATGTTATTAAGAGAAAAATATATATGGTTGGAGCCACTTGCTCATACGTTGCTTTTACATTATTTTCCCCACAAAATAAAAAAATAAAATAAAATATTTTTTGTCAATTTCTACATTGGAAAATATTGATTCGAAATCTTTATGAATACAACATCACGACATGTAAATTTCAACAAGAAAGATGAAAAGCATTTCCTCTAATTTGTTCTTATTATCTTGTTTTCTTGTTTTAACATTTAAATAAAAATATACAAATTAAATAAGATAGGTGTGAATTTTGTTAATCATGATTAAGTCAATAATACTTGTCTCGAGCTCTATTCCTTCTAGAGAGACAAACTATGGACTTATTCTATATGAAGAAAAAGTACGATTTTATGAATTGGTCCATATAGTTATACTTAGGATTGGAAATCGAATCGACCGGTTTGCAATTTGTTCTTCGGAAAAAAATCCGATAATTATTG